AATATACTTTTTTATACACCCCAAAAAGAAGACGACATGCAACAAAATATACTCTTCTAAAATAAAGGAATACATGACACTTACCTTTATTGAAGATTCTGGTGAATTATTGATGGGATGAGGAGGGGAGATGGTGGAAGTTATTGTTTGGAAGGGGAATCCCCTTCCATGAGGACTTGAGGTAGCAAGTCCTTTTCTGGGGTTACTTCCCTTTCTCTTTTAATGCCACTAGGACCAGCTTGAGAATCACTGGAACACTCTCGCACAACAAATCTGTCCATAGAGCTCTGTATCTCGCGTTCCTTTAAGATTTGCCTAAAATGGGCCACAACATTGTCATTGTAATAGTCACCAGCACGGCTTGCAATAGCTGTGTTAGGGTAATTTTCATCCATAAAGGTTTGCAGTTCAACCCACTTTGCACATATTTCCTTAATCTCTTTTTTCAATTCCATACTAATTCTCGCTCTTTTTACCACAGGGTTGGCACTAGAAGCATTCTTGGGGACCATGGTGACTTACTTTGCAGTTACAAGCACTAAAAACACTGGGATAATGTGAATTGTACTGAATGTATGCATAGCTGCGACTGCACTGGCTAGCTTGTAAACACTGGCACCCACTGGGCAGTGTGAACAGGTCTCGGACGAATCACGTTGGGCGAGTTTTTTATCGTTTAGGCGGGGCAAAATTTTTAAGCTCAAACACTTCGATTTGGCGGTTTTAACGTTATGCGGATATTGCGTTCGTTAGGCGTGGGGTCCACATGCTGTATATATTAATATATATTTATAGATATATACATATATATTACTATATATATATATATATAATATATATACACAAGTGGACCCCCGGCATATGTATTAATCCATTCCTGAGAGCTCATCCATCGTATGCTGAAATTATGAAGGCGAATTAAATTTTCCCCATAAGAAATAATGGAATCAAATTTATTACGTGCAAGACACCCAAAAAGTATGAAAAAAAAAGTTACTGCATGAAATATTAAGTTAATGCACACAAACTGAAAGAAGACAGCACTGTAAGTAGTACTCTACTAACAATAGAATAAATGACATTACCTTTAATGAAGATATGGTGATGATGATGGGCACCAATGGGAGGAGGGGAGAGTGTCGATAACTTATTGTTTAGAAGGGGAATCCCCTTTCATTAGGACTTGAGGTATCAAGTCCTTTTCCGGGGTTACTTCCCTTCTTCTTTTAATGCCACTAGGACCAGCTTGAGAGTCAGTGGACTTATGTCGCACAACATATCTGTCCTTAGAGGCCTGTACCTCTCGGTCCTTTATGATTTGTCTAAAGTGGTTCACAACATTGTCATTGTAATAGTCACCAGCACGGCTTGCAATAGCTGTGTGAGGGTGATTTTCATCTATAAAGGTTTGCACCTCAAGCCACTTTGCATGCATTTCTTTAATCTCTTTTTTCAATTCCATACTAATTCTCACCCTTTTTACCACAGGGATGGCACTAGAAGCTTTCTTGGGGTCCATGGTGACTTATTTTGTACGTAGTTACAAGCACTAAAAACACTGGGATAATTGTGAAATGTACCGAATGCATGCATAGGTGCGACTGCACTGGCTGGCTTGTGAACACATGGGACGCGTCTCGAGTGAATCGCGTGAGGCGAGTTTTTTAACATGAGGCAAGGCAAAATTTTTGCATTAAAATGTATCGTATGCCGGATTTAACGTATGCCGATGCCATCGTATGTCGGGGGTCCACTGTATATATATATGTATATATATTTTGTGTGTATGTGTATGTACTTGTGTGTACATGTGTGTGTACTTGTACATGCAATAAAATCACAAGAAACACATGATGCCATAATGTATGCAATTTGACTAAACTGTAGAGAGAAGTTCCAAACGTGATATATCAGTCGTCCTCATCCTCACCTTAACCCTTAAACTGTCCAAATGTAGATCTACATTTACGTGCGTAGCGCTCCGAACGTAGATCTACATTTTTTAACATCCTTTCAAATGGAGAAAATAAAGGTCGGAGCGCTACGCATGTGAACATACATCTAAGTTTGGACAGTTTAAGGGTTAAGGAATACACTGAGGGAAATTGTCATTGTGTGGCTTATATATAGGAGGGTTGTATCTCACATATGGACTTGATTTGGATATGTAACAGATAAAGAGTGACTTGATCTGTCCACATAGAATAATTTTTTTTTTTTTTTTAAATTTCTTTGTGTAGGCATTTAGCTTATAAAACCCTGGACTTGTGTTTAGATTAGTCTGCACTAATTTTTATACAACTTGGCTTCTAATGTATTTTTTTCCTATTGATATTGTATATATGTAACAATTTCATAGCCATTAATCAATTAATAGGATAATGTAAAAAAAATCATACATGAATAAACAAAACACTGAAATCTTGTCCTGAGCTAATACTGTATTTGTGTTATTTTGTCTCTGATCTATGATTTTTTCCTACTTTACATAATATTTATCATCTTTTGTACATGGGATCTCAATGAGACAACCATCAACATATTTTGGGGAATTCTTAATAAAAGGAACTTCAGGAAAGTTCATAATATTTGATAGTGAAAACATCTGTTTGGTTGTGTAGTTTCTTTTCTTCTGTGCCCACATCACTGAAATCATTTAAATCTGCATTATGAATTTAAAGTTTCTGTTTAATGATGGGTTTTATACTAAAAAGTTTGGCATGAAAATATGTCATTCCCTTTCTCCAGCCATTAAACCAAATTAAAAGTGTTAACACTTGTCAGCATTAGGAAAAAAAAAAGTCCATCAGAAATGATAGAGAATCTTTTTCTAAACATAATGACAACAAAAATGTGAAATTTGATGGATAACTTATAGAATTATGCAGGTTCTAAGTTAGCAGTCTAGGCACAATTTATGCAGTGGCAATTTTGCTCACTTTGAGTTCTGTTTTAAGCCAATTCCATTGCTCAATTTGACCAAATTTTTAGCTGTTTCACTAGTATGTTTTCCATTTTACTAATTGAGCACAAGAAAGTGCCCATTCAACTATCAGAACTACCCAATAAAATGCACAGAAATCGTTAATTCAGCAAAGAATTACTAACTTCGGTAATTCAGCAAATATTACACAGAATTTAAATTTCAGTTTAATAAAAAGAGTCCAAAATAACCACTGTAGATCTTTCAGCCACTAAAGCAATATTTTCTTTGTTCATTAATCATGCCCTAAGGCCTCTCCTATATTAATCACTCTTGCTATCCATTTTGAATTCATCACAAAATATTGAAGATTTATCCTATTTCTCAGATTACAAAACATCCCAGTAATTTAATCAAACATAGTAAAACCCCATAAAACACACTAGGGGGTGTAGGCGGCCATACTCATCCTCAGGAAAATTGTCAAAAATAGCATATTTCTGCTACTTGGAGTCCTATTTCAAGTTACCATACCTCTGGTCCTCCAACCAACCAAAATCATCTCTGTTTCACTAGTATGGTAGACATCTCTGTTTCAGTTGTATGTCTTCCAGTCTATCAATTGATACCAAGAAAATTTCAATAAAACCATAAAAGCCATCCTAGAAAACACCTCAAACTTACTATTTTAAACCAAACACAAGGCTAGAGGTTTGCATTTTCCATTATGTACTGCATTGGGCGTGGACTCATTCTCTCATGTCTATGCCAAAATTTACTGCTCATAGCTTATCTGAGGGAGCTGAGCTCCCTGGCATCAATAACATAGATTTACATGTGATTTAGTGAAAGGGTTAATAATTTATTCATTGAATTGTTCGAAAACCCAACTGCTAGGTGATTCTTTGATGCCAAATGGCACAGATATTTTGATTTCCCATGCACATGTCCAATGAAAAACAAATTGGAATAGGCTTTTTATTGATTCAAATAATCTAGCCCCAACCATAAAATTTTCTGTGGAGGTTGAACAAAATAATCCTGTAGTACTGTATCTCTAGATGTTTTTATTGTTAAAAGCCACAAATTCTGATTAAAAAATATATTGAACTCCAATTAATGTTTGCTCATATGTACATTAATTATTTGTCACGCCATGACCGAGTTAAGTATTCATTGTTTTTTCATGTTCTTAAGAAATCTTCATATTTGTAGCCCACATGTTTTAATGACAAATATTTGAAAATTACAAAGAATACCTTTTACATACCAGAAGAAACCATACACAAGCAAAAATATGTTAGTAATATACGCACTACCATGTGTAAATGGTAGTTAGGTTCCTTCTCCAGTCAATTTTTTAATATCAGTGTTTTTAAAAATCAAAATTCAATCAAAACTTAGTGATTATGAAGTCCCCCAAGGAAATTTTACTGCTAAGATCGCATGTACAAAATGTGATTATGTAAGAGATTTTTATAAACCTGTTAATTGGTTAAAAACTAGGATAATTATTACATGCACATCAGTGGTTAAATGAAATTTGTACAGTACATTTAAGTTATATAAAAAGCTAGTGTTGATTGTAATCTAACATTAGTCCAGGATATTAAAAGTTGATTTGTTTTAAGCTGTGATGACAGGGAAAGATATTCTTTACTTGGGTTTGTCAAATGACTAACTCAGGTTATTTGGTGAGTTGCAATCCTCCTGTACATGAGCCACTTCTTACTAATCTCCTTCACAGTGTTCCTTGGGAATGTGACTGATACATTACAAAAGCACTTGGATTTTGGATTTTTTCTCTTCCCTGTGGTCAAATTATATATATAGTATGCAATACAATAATATTTCAAAAACATTTGCATTTCCAAAACCAGGCATAATAAAATGTTATGCATTTATTTTTTCTGGAATGTGATAAATGCAAAAAGCTTTTCTTTGCCTCTGAATTTGTTAATGAGTCACATGCTCGGCAAGTTCACTGACAATGCAGCAAGAGCATTATGTCCCCACCCTAAAAGGCACAGTTACTTGGTATTACTTTACAATTGCTGATGACTGTTTGTGCTCACAGGGTCACCACTCTGGCCAGTACAATGTGTCCGAGTATGAATATTACGCATACAATGAGGTGAGTCAGATCACACCTACCTGGTACCCTCTTAGCCTGGAGAGCTTTTGGCCTGATTGCCCGCATGATTCTACTGCTGTGTATCGGGACCACTATCACAGCTAACAATTTGCTTGGCTTATACATTACAAATACAGTGCCTGTTGATCACATAGTGAAGCCTTTATCCTACTAATCACTCTTTAACACACATTATTGTGTACAGCCTGTAATACTTTTGAGCTGACTGAACTATGAAAGCTTAAAAAAATTATGACTTAGTATGTTTGTTTAATATCACAAAAATAGTTAAGGAACACTAATCAGATATAAAATTGTGTGATGGTAATTTTTAAGTATTGAAGAGAGTGCACCTTCAGTAGTTGTCCAAAAGTTTATAGCTGTTCTATGAGTGTCATAAGAGAAGTGCTTATATGACCTTAAATATTTTTGTTGATCAGTCAAAGTGGACTTTTCAATAACATACTTATACATATTTTTTTTTTAAAGAAATGAGCAAAGTTATTACTTAGTTGATGTGCAGGTCTGCATAGGCACACAGTTTGATTGCTACGTAGTTGCTCTTGCTGTAGGCTTCAGTGCATGCACTCTAGGTGCAAATTTCTGGACCTGATCTTGCAGGGTACATAATCCTTGTACCATTATTAATGTTATAATTGCTATAATGGCTCTGCACATTCCTCTACAATATTATCCAAATGGGCATAAATAATGCTGATGACAAAAAAGTACCATACTTGAGAGAATTAAGTATAATGCAAGTGAATTCCCAGCCCACCAGAATGACACTGTAAGTCTACTTGCCTCTGCAGTGTATTGACCCACAGTGCCTTTTCATTAAAACTCAAAATATATAAAAAAAAAAAAATTAATGTGTAGCTACTTCTCTAATAAATTTTCCTGTGCCATGATGTGGACAATCACTGTAGAAGTGCTCAGTGCAAGTATAATTTAGTTTTTATGAATGCTTGCTTTTTGCGTATGTCCTCCTCCAGCACATTTGTAAGTGATAATAAAAAAATAAGGCATTGGTGAACTTATTACTTCCTGTTTCTGCTACTGGAAATGACTTAGGCAAAACTTCAGTCATAGGTTTATTATACTGTACTTTTTATACTGTACTCTGTATGTTCACTGGTAGTGGACAAATGTAGGAGCTACAATAGTCAATTAAAAGACTGGCTTTCATCTGCCCCAAATTTCATTCTGCTGATGTTTTAATGATATACAGACTCTGCAAATGATGTTGCATCACTGCTAAATAACAACCAAATTTCAAGTAAAATTGGATGAAGGGTAAGAAAAAACAAATTCTGCATACTTTTTAATATTTGGTTATGTTCATATACATTTGATTACCAATATCAGGCAGTTAGACAGAGCATCAGAGTTTTAGAGTATGCTAAGTATATTTCTTGAATCCAGATTTTTTTTATCTCCTTGGTCAAGCGTGGCACGGTGTGTGTTCTTGAAATGGAGTTTTGATTTCATTTCATTCCAACAGTTTTTGATGCAATTCAATAGTCACTGGGTACTATTTACATTGTTCTCTTGCAACCATTTCTTGACCTGTTTTGACATGTGGCACTGTCTTGCATAAAGTATGTAGTACCATGAATCTTATGTTTTTTTTTTTTATGGCAGGAAGTATAAAAGATGGGCATCTGACTTGTCCTCAACGTGCAGACACACATTTAAAGGACTTGTCACTTTGCATAACTTTAATCCAGCCTTCAGTAGTCCAGTGTTCATATTGTGTTGCAAACACAATATGAACATTGTGTTTCTAATTTCTTTTTGGAGGCGATGCTTTATGGTTCTTTCTGATACATATTCCAGTAAATCAAGGTGGTTTTTCTTTAGTCCTGCTGCTGTTATTCAAGAATCTTTCAATACTTCCTTCTTTAAAAGGTTATCAGTAGCAAATAAAGTCACTCTTAACCTGTCCAGGTTTTGGTTTCTTTGGGGGATTGGTGGTGGGGCAGATCACGAGAGGCAGTGATGAGACGATTAATGGTGGATTTCTCACTACCAACATGAGCACATATCTCATTTGTGGGCACTTTTTCATGTGCCTATGCAGGAATGTGGGCCTTTTTTTCAACACTTGAGTTCAGTCTTAATGATCTTGAAGAATTTCTTTAGAAAATAATAGAGCTAAAAATCTCTGAGTTAGACCATACAAAATAGCACTCCAGCACACAAAAAATGACCATCCCCACTCAGTCACTGAAAGCTACTGTTGGTGATAGAAGTTGGTACAGAGAACACCCAGACACTAGAGGGGTTGCTGGAAGTCATGAGAAAACCTCTTAAGGAACAATTATAGGAGTTAAGCACAAATAATGAAAAGCCACTTGTTATATAGGCATGTGACCCAACATTTGCAGAGTTTGTACTTTCAGCATCATGAAAAATAATTCAGCAAAATACCAGTTCAAGCATTATACCTAACATTAACTTAGCCAAAGGTTTTAAAAGCAAAAGTTGTTACTGTATAAACATAATGGAAATATGTACTTGTGAAGTTCACAAGCTAACTAGCTCTTGCCAGGACAAGTGACTAGTAACAAGGTTACAGGTGACAACTCTTCAAAGGAGGTACATTGATGCTGGTGAAGGGCTCTTGATTCAAGAAATTGAAGCTATACTCTTCCAGCATCAAACCTGATTACATACCATTCCTCAGGCACTACATGACCCCTATGGGTTTAGTTCTTCCCCAGGAGTATAATAATAAATATAATATAGATTGGAAGATTCAACAGTACATTGGAACCCTGAGTTTCGAACTTATTTCATTCCAGAAGGCTGTTCAAATGCCGATACTGGACGAATTTGCTCCCATAAGAAATAATGTAAATTAGCTTAGCCGGCTTCAGACCCCCAAAAATACACATACAAAAGCACTTACAATAATAGACTTACGTAAGTGTTCGAGTTGGGAGCGGTTCGAAACTCAGGGTACCACTGTACTTTTCTGAATTGTTACATTCAGGTGTTTTGAATATTTCAGTACAGTAGACCCTGGTTTTTGTAATTAATCCATTCCAGAAGGTTGGCCTAAATCCAAAATGGCCGAAAACCGAAGTATTATTTCCCATAAGAAATAATGTAAATCCAAATAATCCGTTTCAGACACTCAAAAATATTAACACAAAAATACATTTTATAGAGAATGACTATAGTTTTACCTACAGAAAACAATGAGAAATAAATATAAATGACTAATTTTAATGATAAATGAACATTACATACCTTTTTTGAAGACTTTTGTTGGTGAGTAGTATTTATTTGTAGTCCCAGAGGGACTACATCCCGGTGTATACCTACCGGCTACATACACTGTGGCCTACAGCCATATTATTACCATCAACATACAATGTTCACTGAGTTTAATCGTTTCTAACAACTACCTTTAGATGCCATCCTAAACAAAGGGAGAAGTAATGAATATTTCATTCCGAGAATTGTAAACAGAAGCTTATGTATTAAGGGCGGTTAGTGGGCCAATGCAGATTCATACAGTTTTCTCTAACCATGGACCAGAGAAAACGTAATGTTTACCCTCCACTGCATATAAACATTGCATGTTTATATGTTATGTAACGTGTTTCTTACATAATTTTGAAGACAATATCATAGATGGAGTAATGAAAATGTCTATATTAACATAAAATAAAACATTTAATGTGCCCAAGAGTGATTATTATTATGTACTATTAGTATTACTATAGCGTTAAGACTAGGACACTCTTAGTGAACAAGTAACAAAGGCATGTTTATAAGCTATGTAACGTGTTTCTTACATAATTTTGAAGAAAATATCATAGATGGATTAATGAAAATGTCTATATTAACATAAAATAAGACATTTAATATGCCTAAGAGTGAGTCACGAACATATGAGCAGCTCAGGTGGACATGTCTGATACCGTCGATTTCTGAGCTGATGTTCGAAAGCTGGGAGGAAATTTCACTGAAAAAGTGCTCGAAATCCAAATTGTACATTTTCCGCACCAGCCGACAACCAGGGGTTCACTGTATTCTTAAACGTGTATGTTATATTAAATTAGGCTATCGCTGTTGGCAGCCTGCTGACCCACATATCCATTACAGCATGGTTGATCTCTCACTTGGTGGGGGTAGTGATTAGGTTTCCTCTTAAAGACTTTTTCAATTGTTCCAGCAGTATTCTTGTTTTCTGCTGGTAGTATGTGCTATATTGAATAGTCTAGACCCACAGATGTTGGCACAGTGTTCTTGTATCGTGCCAGTGGTGTCCCTACTTTTCACCAGTTTTATTTTGCATTCCTTCCCATATCTCTTACTCCAGCACATTGTTATGTTAGTGTGTATATATGTGACCACACCCGGCCCTTCAGTATCTTCCACATATTCATTATCATGTCTTTCTCCCTCCTCCACTCCAGGAAAAATATATTTAATACTTTGAAGTGGTCCAGTAGTTTAAATGCTTTATTGCAGGCAGTAAATGATATCTGTATCTGTTATCTCTCCTGTTTTTAATGTGCTATAGAGGATAGAGCACAAATGATTTATAAAGATCCACCATTAGCAATACAGTACAGTATTTCATCTGTTTTGAAAGTTTCCCTTATCCATCCCTTCATTTTTCTAGTTTTTGCAATATTTGCCTTATTTGTGTTCTCTAAATGATAGGTGGTTCACCTGACATTATTACATTCAGGTTTTTCATGTTTTATGAAGTGCTGTGTATGGATGACAGCTAAAATTGCCACATTCTGGGCATATTTCAAAAACTCTTGTTCTGACAGATGCCTTGTGTGATCAGTGGCCAAAATGTGACTTTGTGACATGTTTGCCCTACACTTTATAGCTTGATCACGCCTGATGGCTATTGAATGAAAGCAGCATGTTTGACCTGTGTTATGGTGGACGCAGCTGACTAAGTCACATGACTGCAAGCCTCTAAAGAGAAGGTTCTTGCAGAGAAATGTTGTTGCAAAATGAGTAAG